CCTAGTTGTTGTGAAGAGGTTGAGTTTTGCGTGATGGCCATCACTCCTGCTTGGATTCAATTAAATAGTGCTACAATGGTTTGCTTAGGCTATAAATAAAAGTCATTAGATCAATGTTCTGTAGTATTACCCTGTCTCTATTCAGAATTTTTGATGTTATCTACACAAATCGTTCCGTAAAATCATGTTGGCAACATCGATTCTTTGATTACTAATTACAAACTGATGTCTTGCGTGGATAAAATGCAAATTAACATGGACATTCATGAGGGGGGAGGGTCCAATTTTTTTATTTTCAAGTACCTTCTGCCTCTACTCTTTCTCTCATATTTTCTCCAATTTTAGAATTCTATCTCATTTTCTCCTTTCTCCTCCTCCCCCCCCCCCCCATCCACTTGATAGAGTAGGGGGAGGAGGCACATGCCCCCATAACTACACCTCTATCCATAGTTTAGCATTCAGTGTTCTGACTTGCCACTTTCCATTTACAAAAATGTGGTCATGTAAAACAATAAGTATAGGTGTTCATTCCAGTATACTTCTATCATCCAAAGGTCAAAGTACTGTCTTCGTGATTTCTTTGTATATCTATAACATGACCATCTGTTCAATTTAATGCCCTTGTGATTCTGATGAATACATGTATCCTTGTGTCTCCTTTGGAGGGCTTTCAGACATTGAGGCATTCATTATGAAACATATTCATGTAGTAAAAGTGGTTAAGAAGGACTTGTGATGCTTGTATGTGTGTTTGATTATATGGGAAATTGCGTTTTTATATACCTACATGTGTAGATCACATGAGAACATTATGATGATAGCTACATTTATATCGTGCACATATCTATCCAAAGGAATGCTCAAGGCACCAACAAAGCACCATTATCACCCGTGATTTAGCCTAGCTACGATGTGGAAACTATACAAGGAATGACTTTCTAATAGGTAGCAATTTACTACAGGGGGTAGATTGTGGGCTTTTGTGGCAGGTGTAGTTTAACGTCTTCCAAAGGACATTGCTGCCATGGTGGGACTTTTTAATTATTTATTTATTTATTTATTCGTTTTATTTAAACAGGGTAACTTTCTCAGTATTAATACTGTTTTTCTGAGAGGCCCTGTACACAAAAAATGATTACAAATACATGAACCATGTGATCCACAGTCCGCTGATGTATCCACTAGACCCAAACATACAAGGAATTTGGTACAGTGAAACCTGTATATAAAGACCACTCAAAGGTCTTTATGAGCAGGTGGCCTTTGTGTACGGGTGACTTCGTTAGAGGTTTAAATGAGAAAGTTTCTAGAAGGGAAACAGGAAATATAGTCTTTATAAAGGTGGTCTCTTTATACAGGTGGTCTTTATACACAGGTAGTCTCTATTAAAGGCAGATTTAACCATATATATATATATTCATTATCTGTTTCTTTTTTCTTTCCCCAGGTATCAATGGCCTTCAGTTTGATATCGCGAGGAGAACAGAATTGTATGGCAAGAATCAAATTCCCCCCAAACCCCCTAAATCATTCCTGCAGCTTATGTGGGAGGCTATCCAAGATGCCACTCTCATCATGCTTATGATCGCCGCTGTCATCTCGCTTGGACTCTCCTTCTTACCAAAGTCTGAAAGTAAGTCTAACAAAATATTGCTTGATAATAAGCCATTTCACGGTTGCAGTCTGAGCATGAACAGATAAAGGTCATTTCAGAATATATTTTGAAATACACAGAGACAAAATACTGGATACGTGAAAGTTATTTAATCACTATTCATTTATGCCCAAGCAGTGCACTCCACGATACACTGGTGGAAGCATACTTTGAAATGGGAGACGAAGGCTATTTATGTAGCACCTCCATCGCTGTAGGAGTGATTATTTCAAAATGTACAAAGTGGGACCTCGTCATGTTTTGAAGATCTGTGGATATTCGGGGGGTCATTTGAGACATGTGCTAACCGTGAACTGGTCTATAGATAATAAGCCGATAATTTATTTATTCTTATCCACAAATGTGGAAATATACCTTCCAGCATCATCAACAGGCAGTGCAGTACAATTCAAACAGGAACAGGAACGATAGAAACACATATTGACTGTTTACATTTGAACATAATCCATTTACATTGATGTTTGCCTCTTGCTCGATTCCCATTTAACACCTGGATTGAGAGAAGAAGTGTGGATAAAATGCCTTGCTTGAAAACATAAGTACAGTGTCATTTTTATACATTCTAAAAAAGTATACCGCTGTTGTAATATCTTGGCCTACATAACTGTCTATGGTCTAGACGTATCTCAAAAGAAAGCCATCCTTTTCCAGAGAATCAAAATTGAATCAAAACTTGTGATTCAGGGGAAAATTAGAAACTAAAGATGAATAATGTCCTCTGTATGACGGCAATATTTGAAAGTGAGTGACTCATCTAAAATTGCACTTTTGTGCATGTCTTTAATGTGATTTTAAATTGCAAAATGTAATTTACTTTTATTTACTTGTACTTCATAAATCAGATGGTTAATGTTTGATGAAAAATCTTAGAAGTTGAGTGCTTTTCCATCAAACCTTATGGAAAATTGTTTAAAAGGATGGAATGGAAATGGGTCAGAAACATTCATGTTCATGTTTATAATTTGTTTAGTTTTGTGGCAAGGAGTTTGTATGATAGAAGGAACACCGGGAATAAAGTGATAGTTATGAAACATGTGGTATAATATTTTGAAGTATATATTTCTTTTATATACTCTTATCATTTTATCGGGGGGGGGGGGGGGGTGGCTGTGACGAACAAAATCCAGTGCAAAACACATTTGATATCAGGATACTTATGTGCACTTTTGACTTTTGAATTGCACTTAGTAACAAATACAAAACGGAAAAACTTCTACTTAATAAAGAAATGATCACCTTTTTCAGGCATTACCCTGACTGGTTTATTTAAGTATTTGGAGGTACATTTAGACACCCTTCAACTGCCTTTATTGTTATATTGAAGAAGAAGAAAAAGTCAGTGGTACCTTAAATTGTTCTCTGATTCAACAGACCACTTATATCCTGTCATACAGCTAGTACAGGGAGATGAAGACACCTTTGGTTGGCTCTATCATCTTACCCATGATATCTCTGTTTGATAGTAAGGAGAGATTCAGGGAGCGTTGGCTTGAATTCAAATGAGAAATGAAAATGCAAGAAAGAAAGATATTATCTGTGAGAAAATAATTGCATTCCTGTGATTTCCTGGAAATGACCACAGCTGTCTGCTGTATCTCTCCACTTGTTATAGTCTCTTCACCATTATTGATGTATTTCTATTTTAATTCATTTGATGTGTTTACTTTTCTTTACCACCAGAGTTTTATTACAAATATATAGCGCAGCCTTTTTTTTCTTTTCTGTTTATATATCGGCTGTATGATAAAATAATATATGTGGACTGTTATCATAGAGATATAAATATAAAAAGCATTTATTGGTAATTACAGTTCATAGGTACAGTCTTCACAAGAAGACATTGTATTATGAGGGAAAACCCTTGTGTCTAGACAGTGAGACTGCACAATGACACACAGTGTGCTGCTTTCAGGCTACTGGAAAAAGGGAAAGACACGGTTGGAAGAACTTTAAATACTCGTTATTCTAGTATTAGATCATATGAATACACTAGGAGAAGGCACTTGATAGCAAAAATCAGGAAACCAGTTTAAGTTGACCTTTGATTTTCTTTTTAAAACAGTGCCAACCAATTTTTTTTTTCATCAACAACTTTTCAGAGAATGAGTTATTTGTGCAATTCAGCACCTTCTTCCGGCCATGTTATTTTAGATGCGCCATTTGTAATGTGCTTGTATCTATTTACATGAAGAAGATGTTAAGCTCACCCAAAGATTGATGAACTAGTTCATTGAGGTTCTGCCAAAAGGGATAGATTGGATGCCTCAAATTTCTTCTTGTCGTATTGATCGCCAGATTGCAATCAATCGCGACCAGCTCTCCCATGGCCCAGGCAGCGGAGAGAACATGCAGCCAGTATAGGTCATGCATTAGACTCCTCTGGCTGGCTTCGGTCCCACAAACAGTCTTACGTGTAGGTCAGGTCAGGTGCGAGTCAGTGATAATGTGATATCCCCTAGGCTTGCTGGTATGCAGGTAGGGTGTTGGATGCTGTGAGATTTCTCAATCACTGGCCGCTTACGAATGGTGGCATCTTGAAAGCAACACGCGCCTATCTGCTTACCAATGAGGATGGAATAATAGGCAGAGATAATACCTGTATATCCTGCAGTGAATCATCAGTTCAATTTGCAAACATCTTTTTTCCTTCTAATTAAGTGGTTATTTTTTAGCATTTGAATGGAGAGGAGTTATAAGCAATGGACATATCGTCGCTGTTTTCATGAAGTGACGGTAGTGAAAAAAAATTGCATTCACTTTGCGTTACGATTTTCCTCACTACCGTCACTTCGTTAAAACAAGGACGATATATTAATTTAAAAGGTGCACTTAGACTGAATCAGTGCTTGTAGTTGATTAATTAACACTGTGCCATGATAATGACTTCATTAGGAGGTACAAAATGTACTCTCATGCATTAAATACATGATATTGTTTTAATCATCTCTTTTAATCTGTTACAGTCTTTATCAAATTGTAAATATTGTATATTACATAAGTACATTCCTGTTGAATTTTGAAAATACATGTAGTATCTATTTATTTACAAAAATGTATTGCTACTTCTAGTAGCAGGTTATTTACTGAATCTCTTACCAAAGTAGATGTCCCATATCTTCAGCCAACCATGGTTGGTGAATTTATAAATTAAGTAAATAGAGTAATAGTTTTTTTTGTATTTTTTATATATTCAACATGTGCAAATTACAGGTTTAAAGCCCTTGAAATATTAGGTGGATATATTAAAGTCCATTAACACAGAATATGAATGCCATGGCCTACTGCTTTGGTCAGGTCAAGATATCTAATTAATCCACTCCCACCATCACTCTCTCTCTCTCCCTCTCTCTCTGTAGCTGAAGGTGGAGAGGCAACGGCCAACTGGATAGAAGGAGTAGCCATCTTGGCTGCGGTAGTAATTGTCGTCTTGGTAACAGCATTCAACGACTGGTCCAAAGAGCGCCAGTTCCGGGGCCTGCAGAACAAGCTGGAGTCGGAGCATACGATAGCTGTGATTCGAGCGGGAGACGTTGCACAAACAGTAGTCCAAGATATAGTAGTAGGGGATGTATGTCTAATTAAATATGGTAAGACAATTGTTTAATTTCCTACCTTGTGTGATCGTAAGTGTTTCAATGTTCCATTAGAGCTGTAAAATATTGGCTAATATAGGAAAGGGGTCATTTTGTTTAAACAATAGAGGAAAGATTTTTCTTTTTTCAATAAATATTTTGTCAGATACAGATTTGATTTTATATGTTTTACATCCTGTCCTTATTGACTGAATATTAGATATACTGAACAACAAAGTATTTTTGGCAAGTTTTATTTTCCTTTTTCTTTTTGTTGATGAAATAATATGGAAAGAGATAAAGAGAAATGTATCAGACCTATTATTTATGTGTGGAAGAAAGAATGAATATGAACAATAATTCTAAAAGATAAAGAGGGAAAAATAAAGGAGATTTTTACCATTTGTGGGTTGTTTTCTTCAAATCAGGTGCATCAGTCTAAAAAAGGGTAAACACGATACTTGCAGGAGAAAGCATACAAAAGATTAGACAAAAGTATACAGACAAGTATTCAAAGATATTGACAGTTAAAAGAGATGATTTTGACACATTTCACAGGTTGTTGGATCTATTTCAGACACTGATAGGCTTATCATGGATACCTTGTGTGGGCGTATTGATTTTTCAATCTTGCCAATATAATGACAAATGTTCAATGACATTTAAATCATGTCCGTGTGGGATGAATCGATATGGCATTCACAAAGAAGAATTTGCAGCAGAAATAGCTTTACAGCAGCTGGTTTAATTATTTCCCTTGGGGGATTTTTAATTTTACGATTTGCGGTTCCCTATTTTTCCTCCAAGCTTATTTAGATTCTAAGGCTTGTATAGAATGTGGTGAGAAGTACAGATTTGTGCAATTTAAAGCAAACTTGGCTCTAAAGCCTGTCTGCACTAGTTTGGCCAGGAGGGATTAGACCTCCCCGCATGGTCACTGACGGGTGGTTATCTCATCAAATCAGCTCTCACTTAACATAAGAAAAAGGGGATCATGGGGGACCAACGGGTGCCACTTAGGCATTGTTTGCTATATAGAGGGCGCAAGTAGCTACAAGTAGTGCAGTCCCACTTTAAACTGATGACAAATGAATACCATTGTAGTGATGTCAATGGTGGTAGTGCTTTAGATGATGATGGCGAATTAAAATTTAGTAATATAGAAATATAGATTATTGTGGGTATGGTTGTGGTAATGAGACTAATATTAACTGGATCGATTTATACAATGATGGTGAATAAGCTTTTATAGTACTTGTACTGGTGTAGTGGCATTACAGATGGCAGTTATCATTTTCATGCCTCAGTAAGCCCTGTTTAGATGTGGCGCTGTAAAATGCCCCAGATATTCACTATGGCAAAATTATGAACTAAAAAAAGGGAAATGAGTGTATAACAATTGGTACTCTTTTATCTGTAATATGTCTGCTTTACAGATTTTTGCTTGTCTCATTTAATTTTGCTGCTGATTTTTTGCTTTGGTCACTTAACCACATCACATGTGGGTGGGGGGGGGGGGGCATAACAAAAGTAAATTGGCTATTTCATAATGAGAGCATGGTATATGGTCACAACGACAGATGATATTGTAAAGGCATCATTGCATGGTCCATTGCTCAATGTTTTCTCCTTGTTCTTCTTCAACTCCCAGGTGACCTTTTACCTGCTGATGGGGTCGTCATCCAGAGCAACGACCTCAAGTTGGACGAGAGTTCACTCACCGGTGAATCAGACGCCATCAAGAAGGGCGTCGAAAGAGATCCCATGCTCCTCTCTGGTAAGATTCATTAGATTGTTACTTTTGTGCCATCTTATGTTTGTCCGTGTGTCTGTCTGTCTGTCTGTCTGTCTGTCTGTCTATTTATCATTAGGTCTTAAAGTGTATTGCTCATGTACATCTATAGTATCTATATACCTGTCTGTATTTCTCTTTGTATGTCTGTGTCTATCAACCCATCTGTCTGTTTGTCTATATGTATATGTATGTACCCATTTGCATGTTTTCTATCCCTATTTGTGTCAAATAGTTCATTTGCCTGTCCTTCTATCTATACATACATGTATATACGAAAGTCAGAAAACTCTATTTTGGCAGAGCTCTTGAGAGTTATGATGTTTTTAAATCTTTAAAAAATGTACGGTATCTAGTTGTCATTTGAGGTATCTTTCTTATCGGCTTTGGGTGTGACTCTTCTACACACAAGGCCTCCAGTTAACATTCTGTCCAAAGAACGGAGTGTTTTTTCCCCCGAAACCTGGGCCTGCATCGAGAACAGAGGGGAGAGGTGCACTTTAATATACACAATGCCTCTTACTATGTACATGCAATGTTCTTTGGCTTTTATTTAGCTGTAACTCTGTCTCTTTCTTATATATGTTTATCACATACCTGATAATGAACCTCATCAGTCGCAGTCTCTCTTTCTCTCTCTCCCACTCCCTCTCTTTCTCTCTCTCTCTCTCTCTCTCTCTCTCCCCTCTCTATTTCTCTCTCTCCTCCCCTCTCTCTATCTCACATAAACTCCCTCTTCATTACACCTCCTCCCCCTCTCTCTTTCTCTCTCTCTCTCTCTCTCTCTCTCTCTCTCTCTCTCTCTCTCTCTCTCTCTTTCTCTCTCTTTCTCATTCACTCGATCTCACTTGTCTCTTCAGTACTCTCCTTATTGGCAAGGAACGAAGAAGGCTTCTCATTTTCAGTTTTAATCGTATCGTCTCTGTGCACATGAAACTTGATACTCTTGGTATGTGTGGAGTGTTTGGTCCATATAGCCGCCTGCCCTCTGCCGTTAATTCCTCTCGTCACTCTACATGAATGTGCATCTCGATCGGGATGCATGCTGTAGTTGATACATTCCTCTACCAGTCGTATATACCTCAAGTTAGGCATTTTCTTACTAAATGTGTGCATGATATCTGTGTTTTAGAGAAACCTGTGATGGAAAGGAGATATGTCATAAAAAATGTTTTGAAAAGGATAACATATCTTCTCCACAATTCATTTAAGACCAGCTAGTATTTAGTCACTGACAACTTCACATCTAAGTTAGATAGAGCTTTTCCAAACATGGGCTTTCCCAATGAGTAGACTTTGAACCTACTCCTTCATTTATCAATTTTATATTTATTGATTGGTGTTAGCATAACCTGTTGTGTAAGTAGGTTTTGTTGGAGTTAATTGTGGATGTGTTTTTATCAACATTGAAAAGCTTAGAATCTCTTGTTTCAGAAAATGCACAAAACTAAAAATGGGTTCCCTGGTGGATTTTTGGCAATGGATGACATTTGATGACCTCATATTTTAGACCCAAAACACCAATTGTCATGAAAATGAGACGGTAATTTCATCTTTTTAGTAACACCTTGTTGAATGTGGATCAAACACATCCTATCTCTGTTTCAACGATGTGCTACATGGTGACATGAGATACGAAAATACCCTCTGTTTGAGGATCGATTCGAACACCCGTACTGGAATAATGCATAAAATAGTCATAATCAGATAGGATTCCTAACCATTTTGACTTGTCGTGTTTGTATTTCCCTGGAGCCCTATCCTATCTTCATTGAATGGCCACCCCAAATACCTCATCTATTCTGAAGACAGCGCCCTTCTAGACTTCCCCTGAAAAATTTTGTTTGAAAGGCTCTCTCCAAGCTTTAAGCTGAACATTCAGATAGATAATGCTTACACTTTCCTTTATAATAACCAAATGAAGTGTAAATTTACAGTGGTCATTTGATGATGATGCCAATTTCAGCAATTAATGAACCTGGTCCCATGTATAAGAAATCATGTGGGCTATCATATAGTAATGTATAGTGTAACCACCATAATGGAGCACTACAAAGTATGTTCCAGTTTCAAAGAGAAGTCATATCTTCCATATTTCAACTTGAGGGTAAGAAAAGGCGTGGTGAGAAGGTAGGACGGAGAGGAGAGGAGAGAAAGAGAGATAAAATTGAGAAGATTCTTTAAATGTATGAGAGGTAATTCAACAGCTCTGCATCACCCTCTTTGTATGTGTGATGGCCGCAGGACAAGGGTTGGATTGCTCCTGCGAATGTGGCACTCCTCCCACGGGTAGGCTAATGTTGCAGACATTGATGGTTAGGGAAATCAACGGACATTTATCAAAGGATCTCGGTAAACATAACTTGATGGTGATCGACAAACCTATCGTCTTTCTGAATCACAATATTCATATATGCGGATGGCATGAGTCACGACAGGGAAGATCCAAATAGACGACGTGAGTGGGAAAACAACCCTTCGGGACGGAATGTCTGAGACATCGCAATCAAGACATGAATGTCCTTTTAAATTCTTCATATACGAAAACCTCAAACTAGATATTGCTTGGATTTTGGGTTCGTACATCTATAAAGTTCTAGACTGAAACTGTGTTGAGATAAACTGCCTTTGAAACCTTTTTTAGTTGTTATTGTAGTCTTTAAAAAAGCCATCTCATATTGAAAGATTGTTGGAACCGGTAAAATGAAATTGAAATTGTTTAAATTTTGCTGAAAATATCATTTAATGACAATCATGTACCTACTCCGATGGCATTTAAGAACAATCATTTCACATTACTCGATACGCATGCAGCCTTTTTGCAATTAAAAAGAAAAAGGGGGGGGGGGACTAAAAAGCTATTGCTTCATGTTGGTAGGTTTATACTTATAGTTTGCAATGTCTAAAGATGAATGAACTGGATAAAACTCATTTAAAATTCATAGTATGACTCATGACATGAGCATTGAGACATGATTAAAATTTAACAGATTCAAGTCTCTCCAATGAATGAATGGAAGGCTCTGATTATCACACTGGCAGGTGCAAAAATACTCATTATTAAAATCGAGGAGAAGTTTGAGCGACCTCGTATCAATTTCATGTAAAAAAAAAAATCATCAATGTCTCCCTGTATGCAAATTAAAGTTGGCTTCTGGAATCTGCATAATAATCTGATGGGGACATGAATGGCTTGAGGGCGGTGGGGGTGGAGTGTGAGGCTAGGATTTCTCTCCTGATTTCTTCCTGTGGCTACGATTTGAGACGATTTGAGAGCGTTTGAAGCAGGGGAGGTAGTATCTAAGCAGCATGATTCATCAAGACAAAGTGAGTCATCTTAAACTTCATTCATTCATGTGCTTGTTTGGAGAGATTGCCAATCGCTATGTGGTTGAGTTGAATCGTTGGTATTCCCTCCTACCCCTTCAAGTCAACTCCCACCCTCATCCATCCATCCATCCATCCATTGGATAGTGCAAGGAAAAGTTATCCCTGGTTTGGTGATTTGGGGATGAGCAGTGTTGGTATAATGGATGTTGGCAGTTAATGAAAATTATTCAATTTTGTTGTAGTCCTTTCTTCAAGATGTAATAGTCTAGGTCTTTCACAGGATATCTAGCTATCCAGGAAATCAAGGAAAAACTGGTAAATGGGTTACCTTTCTCCAGTCAGGGAAAAGACAATTTAAGAAATTTTTACTCAAATCAGGAAGAAGAACAAAAATCAGAGAATTTCATTGCCCCTCCCCCCCAAATAAAAAAATGTAGTCGGTCTGTTATAAGATGTTTTGTGTTTAAACAGCATATCCTTTGGATGATCCTTGATTTTTGAAAATTCAATGATGAAAAAAGATGAAAGGTTTGTTTCATGAAGTGCTGAAATCCTTGTTTCAACAGTCAAAGCAACACCAGAGACCACCTGTATTTCGAGATGATTATCTTTCTGTTCCATTATGTGAATTTTTAAAACTGTGATTGGCTGGTTATTTGGTTTGGTAACATAAGCACAGTCACACCAAAGACAGTCGTAATGTCAGTGGCATATGAGGTTTCCAGTATCAAGTGATGTAAATCTTGTTCCGTAGTAGTACAGGTACCGTTACAGTGGCCATGCTGCTTCCAGTAAACAGATATGATCTCCTTTTCACACTTTCAGCCTTATTGGATACTATCCAAGAAAGAGTACATCTCTGCTTCACTATCCTCTTCTTCTCTGCCAAGTTTTCTTGTGCCTGGAGTCAAAAAAATGTCTTTGTTTGGCAGCATTTCCCCTCCGTTCTCTTGGACCTTGTTATGCGGAAACTCTAGAATGAGACACTTGTAATCAAAGGGCACTCCCAACAATACACGCATTGTACGAGCGGGTGCATTCAGAAACTGGCTGCTAACGTCTTTGCCATGTACATCCTAGATGAATAGAGTGCCCACGTGAAGGGAAGGAAAAGAAGTCCTTGTGCTGCATTCTGCGTGCTTCCCCCTCCGTCTCGTAGACTCATGCCCGGCTTCTTTCAAGCTCGGCGCAGCAGGATAAACACAACCAATTCCTTGAGTAGCTATAGAATCGCTCCCCGATCACAGGATGTTGACATAGGGATTGGCTATCGAATTTGCGAGTATATTCACATTTATAAAGCACATGTGTATGAAATGAATAACGCTGCTTGAGATATTGTAAGAGGTAGAATGAGCGGAGAGAGGAGAGTCAGTGAAATTATTCATGCTGCTTTTCATTCAGGTTTTGAAATGGAATGACTGGTTGAAATGGAGTAGAATTGAATAGCATACCGATAAAAGGAGCTCACTTACAATATGAGAATGGAAAGGAAAAGCTTCTTCATTGAATTTGACATTAACGTGACATCACACACAACTACGCAAATATGTACATAGTCAGGAATTTCAGGGCTTAGGGAAGGCTTTTGTGACTGTTTTGCCAATAATTCCCCTTAATAGACGTCTAAATTTCTGCCTCAGTGACCATTTTCC